ATTACCTATTTACTTTTAAAACTTAAATAATATAGGTATAGCCTCTAGAGTTTGTACTAGAGTATTAGAGTAGATATATAGTGTACTTAATAACTCTAGCCTCTAAGAGAGGCGCGCTGCTATTCCTAGAAGTAAGTTAAACTATACTCTAGTTTAAATAAGTCTAGAATTATTCTAGAATTAATTTAACTACACACTTTAATCTAGTCTTTAATACTACTATTATTACTCTTACTAGAGCTAGATAAATATAGGTTAAATTCTTTATAAATATCTAGGTCTAATGCGTTAAGGTTAAGAAATTTAGACTTAGCGTTAAATATAAGCAAAGAAGGCTCTATATTATAATATAAGTGCAATTTAGTCTAAATTAATTTAGAATAAATCTAAGAATTGTTTAAATTAAAAATTTTATTACTAAGTGCGCTAATTCTCTTAGGTAGTATAACGCTAGCATGCTATATTTTAAAAATTACCTATTTGCGTTAGCGCATGCTATGTCTTGGCGCGCCCTTAGTTAGATAGACTGTATGCACATACACCTGCTGTTTGCAGTGACATGCTGGTGAATCTAGAAGTGGAGAAGGGGCTAAGCAAATAGGGTTAGGCTCGAATGCAGGGATCGTCATCGCCCTAGCTCCTTCCAAAAGTTCGCGACCATGGCATTTGACGCGCGAACACATGCGCCTCAACACGCCATCATGAGGCTTCGACTGACGGTCCAGCGGAATGGCCTGCCTGCCGCCAACATACTCTGGAGCGTACCTGAGACGAACAGCACGCAGGCATACACCATTACGCGTCTGCTCGAGGATGTCAACCACATTATCCCGCTAGAGGCCGAGCACTGGGGCCTGGAGCACTATGTCGTCGAGGTAGGCGGCTTCGAGTGCCTGCACTTTATGCCCGTCACGAATGCGCTCAAAGAAGACGATCATGTTTCGTATGTGATTCTAGAATCTCTAGTCTAACATCTGCTAACAGCCTACCAGCATCCGCCCACTTATGACGGCCGAAGTGCGCGCGCGCACCCTCACTGGCCGTGATCAAATATCAGACGGAGGCCAACATCTCGTCGATGGCGTCCCCTTCGGTCGACCCTACCTGCGACAACCAAATCGACCTGCTGTTCGCATACCTCCGCGCAAACGACGCCGACTAGACGATGGGCAGTCCGACGACGATACTGAAGCTGTGGGGCTTCTAACGGAGCATGGAGAACCATCGGAAGCGCGCGACGATGTTGCGACGCTGTGTGGTCACAAAGGGTCGGGAAATAAAGCATCAAGGGCGCAACGGGCAGTCAAGTCGGTGCAGTTCGAGCAGCCCGAAATTGATGATTCGGACGACAGCGAGGAAGATGATGATGACTTTGCACCCGAAGAAGCAGAGGAGGAGGCGTCCTCTTCAGACGACTCGGACTCGGACTCAGACTCAGACTCAGATTCAGAGGCAGACGCAGACGCAACGGCAAAGGCAAATTCGGACGCGTCGTCTAGCGCTTCAGATACCTCGGATTCAGATTCAGAGACAGACACCTCAAGCGATTCCGACTCCGACTCCGACGATAGCGACGCAAGCTCCCCGCCCGATGTCTTGTCTTCCAAAGACGGTCGCAAGACCAAAGCAGCCACAACGCATGTACCCCCCGGAGATGGACTCAAAGCTACAAAGCTGAGGAACTCGCGACGTACAAGAGCTAATCGTCTGCGTAGTCTCAAGGCGTCGGGCAAGCTTCCCGAAACCGCTACGTTCAGTGACCTGACCGCCTACGAAGACGGCAGGTATGGTCTGGATGAGGAGGAACCTCGACACACACAACCTTTTGCCAAATCCCAAGGTAAGAGAAAACGATTAGACGAAGATGAGCCGGCAGAGGAGGTCGCGGAAGACACAACAGAGCTGGAGCGAAGGAAACGGGACCTGATGGCGAGGTTCGGAGAAAGCACAGAAGCGACGGCACCAGCGGACGAGGCCATACAGCCAACGACTCCGGTCGTTGAGAAAGCCACTACTACCCTAGTGGAAGAAGAGCCACCAGCGAAGAAAGAGCCTACCTCCAGAAGACTGCGACCAGACACCCGCGCCATTGGTCGGATACTTGCTCGACAGGCTGGGCCTGTTCGGAAGACAAAAGCGAAGGCACCGACACCTGAGCCTGAAGAGTGGTCAAATCCCGACTTCTGGAAGACACGGATCAATCTCTCGGCGTTTGAATGCTGGGAAGAGGACTTTGAGCTCAGCGCCCCGCCCTTCCCGTTTCAGCAGCACTGGGACCCAGCCAGCAAGCTTATGCATGACAAGGCTAGGAAAAAGAAGCAAAAGAGGCGGAGTAACGTGCAGCAGGAGGCAACGCCAGTAGAAGAGGAGGAGGGGGAAGAGAAGATCATCTTAGACTACGACGATGCTCCCACAACGAACCCCGACTCTGAGTCCATCAACGCAGCCGTCGAGGACCAGCTGCGTCAAGACCTTGCAATGGCTGCGCAGTCTGATCTGCCACCACTTCCTGAAGACATGAGCACCCTGCCAGATCTCACGTCGTCCGACATGAAGGCTGGTGCTGTCATCGCCTGCAAATTCTTTACTGTGAATCCCGTCACTGTTACACCCGAGATTAGCGGATACAAGACAGCTACTGTAGAGCAAGAAGGCGACTCAGGCCCTGGCGCGGGTACGATCCAGCTCAAGATTGCTTTGCGCGATCTTCCAAAGAGGGAGAAGAAGTTTGACAGCAAAGGCAACCGCATCTACAACGCGGCCGACGCTCTCCTCATGGAAGAGGACGACGAGGATGAAGGCTTGTGGGAGGGCTCATTTGGCGAGCTACTTGAAGCGAAGCTTGTGAAGGCTGCATAAGTGATACCACGAGGTATGCGTCGTTGCTTGGTCGACCGTTCGTATGGTTATCGGCCACATGTAACACCCTCTATCTTGCTTCATCGTACATCTTTCAATATACCCAATTTCATCTACTTTTGACATTTGGGTAGGTGCACGGTCCGTGAATCCGAGTGTGGTGTCGCGAACTGGAGTTTGGTGAGGTTACCCCGCCGAACGTCATGCAAACCCCTCCAGGTCCAGAAGCTGCAGAGCTGACAGCCACCGGCACTACTCAATACCACGGGATAAGTTTCCCATGGCGAGCGTCTCATGTACACAGGGTCTTTGCCTGCGTTTGATGTTTTCTACGAGCCTTCGCCCGCGGTGTGACTTCCCTTCGGAGCAAGTTGCCCGCGCCCGCTATTCCTCGGCGCCCCCAATTCAGGGTCTTAGCCCCAAAATTGTAACTGCCGTGGCCCACTAGCTTCATGATTAGACGTGGACGGGTCGTTATGCGATGGAGAACCGACGAGGCCGTGTACGAATTTTCGGCAGATGCGTCCCGTCTCGTCATCTTATTGCTAAGCCTCTAGCCAAACTACAGCACCATTGTGTCTGACGGACAAACTATTGCATAGCAAAAACCACAATATCTCATGTAAGAGTTGATGCCGCGATAGTGCCACAGCATGCTAACCGTCGTACAGAACTAGACACAATGCCTCTTCCCACTGGTGTATATCGGGCCGACCACGTCGGCTCCTTCCTCCGCCCCAAAGCCGTCCTCGAAGCGCGTACAAAAGCAGCCAACGGTGAGATCACCGCCGACGAGCTCCGCAATGTCGAAGACGAACACATCAAATACGTCGCAAAGAAGCAAATAGAGAGCGGTCTCCGATCCATAACCGACGGCGAGTTCCGCCGCGCATACTTCCATCTCGACTTCCTCAAGCACGTCGAAGGTATCGAGGAGAAGGGTCAAGTGGGAAACATCAGGCACAAGGATGGCTTCTCGCCACCAACGCTGGTCGTGAAGGGAAAACTGGCCCACCCTGAGGCCATTCAGGTCAAGGACTTCCAGTTTCTCGAGCAAGCGATCAAGGAGAATGGCGGCAAGGCGAGCACAAAGGTGGCTATTCCATCGCCAACAATGGTGCACTTCCGTGGTGGACGCGCCTCGATCGACATCTCCGCATACCCCGACCTCGATGTCTTCTTCGAGGACCTCGCGCGCGTATACCAAGAGGAACTAGACAGCCTGTACAAGGCTGGCTGCCGCTTCGTCCAACTCGACGACACCAACCTGGCCTACCTATGCGACCCCGATATGCGCAAAGCCGCCGAGCAAGAACGCAACGAAGACCTCAGCACCCTCCCCCGCAAATACGCCGAGCTCATCAACAAGGCCATCGAGAAGCGACCTGCAGACATGAAGATCGGCATCCACCTCTGCCGTGGCAACTACCGCTCCAAGTGGTTCGCCTCTGGCGGCTACGAGCCCGTCTCAGAAGTTCTCTTCAAGGAACTCAACGTTGACGCCTACTTCCTCGAGTACGACGATGCGCGATCTGGCGACTTCTCCCCGCTGCGTCATTTGCCTGAGCACAAGGTCGTTGTGCTCGGTGTCATGAGCAGCAAGAAGAACACCCTCGACGACAAGGAGGAGATCATCAAGAGGCTACATGAGGCGGCTAAGATTGCCCCCAAGGGTCTCGATCAGCTTTGCGTCAGCCACCAGTGTGGATTCAGCTCCACAGCTGAGGGTAACGAGTTGACGGAGGAGGAGCAATGGGCTAAGGTCAAGCTGAGTGTAGAGATTGCCAAGCAGGTCTGGGGCGATGACATTAGCAAGTAAGAAGAGTCTTGTTTCGGTTGGGGGAGTTTGCGGTGCTGGTACTGAGATGAAAGCATGAGTACGGTGTTGTGTAAAAGTGGTCTGATCAGGTCTCAACGGCTGATCCATGTATGTATTATGAAGTAACGGTTCAACCCCAGTGAGATCAAATGTATCAAATATAACAACATTGCCGCGTCATCACATGCCAGTAACATAATGAACAACTGAAACCAGGCGGCCTTTTGCTCTACAGTTCACAGATCTCGTGTTGAGCGTTTTACTCAACAGTGTGGTCTTGCTACCTAAACCACAAGCTTTCATGGATGTTGCCTCTGATGTTTCAGTTCCCTTCTAGCTCTACAGCATAACTCTGTATATCGCTCTTATAAATTTCTTTGAGCATTTCCGGGATATCAAAGAAACAGACCTCGAAGTACTTCGGACCACGATACTCCTGTTCTCTGTGCACGCGACAGACGTGAAATTGCGTTATCAGAGCATCGAGTAGCACGTTGATATTGTCATGGTAGGCTCCTTTTCTGCCCTTGTTTGCGTGGCCGTCACGGCAAGCGTGGGGAAGTACGGCTGGTTTGAGAGGCCCATGTTTCTGGTAATTTCGACCGAGGTAGACATGCCAGAGCGGTAGCTTCCTCAATCTCTGGTATATCGACTTCCACGATCCGTCCGTTAAGGTCGCTTCCGTTGCCTCGAACCACACCAATTTCTCGGCGCGCTTGAGAAATCCTCGGAGTCGGCTACCACTTAGGTAGAGGTCGGAAAGCTCTAGAGATTGCAAATGCTCGTACGAGCGGGCCATCATATATGTAGAGAAGAGACTTTCGCAGCCATGGCATATCCGAAGCTCTGGAACTCCGTTGCATCCCAGGAGTTGTAGGCGCTCAACACTAGTAGTGGCAGCAACAACTTCTAATACATCGGGATGGACCGGGCGCACATTCTTGATGTGAGCTCCAACTTCGCGACTCTTCGCAACATCTTTGCCGTATGCATTTGGTGTTAAGAAGACAGCTTTCATGATCCAAGGTCGAAATTCTGACAACGAGTCTGCAAACAGCCCCCATCCGGGCTTCTGAGAGTTCTCCAGCCAGAGGTAGACATAGGCGATCTTCTCTAGAAACTGCGAAAGTTGCAGTGCTCGTAGCACAGTTGTCTGTTCACTGACAATATGAGTCCCAAAGGGTAGCTCTAGCTCGATGAAAGAGTCCGCGTCTTGGTGTTGTCGGAAACATTGGGCGAGCATGTGGGCAGCTTCATCAGACCTCACAAAGCTGTACTCGCCCTCGTGTAGCAGATACCATTCGTAGTCGCTTATTGTCTTGGGTTTTTTGAGCGGGCATACAGTCATGCGCAACATTCGGTTGCGAAAGGCGGGGATACGGGACAAGTGTAGGAAGAGAGCAAGCGACGACGGCTCGAGATAAAAGCGGCATTCCTGGAGGCCGTACCGAATGCTTGCGTCGAATTCGGTCCTAGCGTAGATGGCTTTGCATGTCGATCGCAGCGATCCAAAGTCTCTGTTCTTGTATGAATACTTGTTGTTGTTGGTACCCGACGCTCGTCCGAGGAAGCGACATACTCGACTGAGGAGCTCTACTGGAAGCTCGATCAAATCCATTTTGTCTTTTCACTGGTGGTCTGATCAGACGATTGCCTATATGGTCTCCAGAGGGTAAGTCAAATGATGCTAGGTTGAGGGATCGATATATGTTGACCGAACGTAGAGAGCCAGGATTGCTGTAGTCTAGAGGTCAAAAGCTACCGCTGCCTAGATGATAAAGCCTGTCCGTGCACCAACGATGACTACATGATTTGGTCAGACCACCAGTGAATATTGTCGACTATCCTGCAGTTGCTCTACGAGCTACGGTTATGAGAATGTAGCCTGCGCTCTCGTATCTGTCTGCTAGCCGCGCACTGGTAACAGTACGCGAGCATGTATTGAAAGAATACGACTGAACCTAGAGAATACGCATTGTGTTCTTTGGGTGAATGTACAGAGGAATGAAGAAGGGAAGGAGCAGTCAAGGAGACAAGAAGGGATGATGTCACCACGCTAGGCCAGAAGAGAGTGTCGCTCTTTCTTCAATTGCACTTGAGCAGGCATTCCACCCACAAACTACTCCAAACATCACCGAGACTAGATATGAAGACTTTGTTTATCGGTGCTTGTTTCGCTGGCTTCTCTTCAAGGACCCATGGCCCGAAGGATGTGTCCACCCGTCTCCCGGCGCTAATATCGACGTCAGCAGCCAGCCGTCCCGCAAGTGCGCTGACGCTTGCTGAGTAATAAACATAGAGAGATGTACCCGAGATGAGAGGTGTTAGAAGAGCGCTAGTGACAAGTTCCTACGACTTATACGCAGAGGCAATGAATAGATGTAAAACACTCATATCGTGATGGTGGACTTTTGGACGAAAGTGACTTTACATTGACTATGCAATCGACCGTAAAGCGCAGCTGTCAAACAGAAACATGGCCAACCATGTGGTAATGAATGTCCTGAGACGTTCTAAGGTTTTACAAATACTGCCCATCGTCCTCGACACTCCTCCCCCACTCCATCCACAGACATCGTTCAGCTCCGAGAGCTTTCCGCCTGGTGATCTTTGGGCTGAAAGCCTATCTAAGCAGCAGCAACCATCTCGCGGCGCGCGAACCTGAGGTTCCGCTTGGTGATACCGGTGGCAATGCCTTGGTACTGGTTGATGCAAACAGTAAGAGTTCCGGAAAGGGCACCTGCTTCATCCTTGAAGTCTGCGGCGCGGGCCTCGAAGGTATCAATCAACATGAAGGCAATCGTCTGCGAAAGGCTGTTAGCGAGCAGACTCAAGGAATTACGTTCGAGTTCAACAGATAGTATCGGAGCGGGCGCTGGGCGTGAAAACTACAAGAGAAGAAAGACTTACATCAACGACCTTCTCGATCTGCCTGAGTACAGCCGCAACGGGCGCACCGACGAAAGGGACAGTACTGAACAAACCGGCCTTGCCAATGAGGATGTTGAGCAGCGCTTGATGAACTCGGACAAACTGTTTCTCGTCGTAAGCAACATGAATATCTGTGGAACAGATGGTACTCACTTCGCGGAAGGCTTCGAAGACGGCATCAGTAGAAGCGCCTGCGGGCTCTTTGGGCATGCCCTGCATCTGAGCGATGGCGGTGGTGGCGGTAGTTACAATGTCTGCGAAGCCCCTAATGATCTCGGGGAATGGTCCCTGACCGACGAGCAGCAGTTGTCCACTGATAACGGTGACGCTTTTGGCCGGCGCCTGAAGCGCCATGCTCTTCGTCGTAATAGATTTAATGTTGGTGACAACCTCAGCAGGCGTGATTGCAGCGGAGATGGGCACGGAGAAGGCCAAGGCGGCGGTGAAGAAGTTGCGGAATGAGACCATGATTGCGGTGGGAAGAAGCTGTGAAAGCGGTTGTTGGTGGTAGATGGTAGAAGTGAGGAGTGATGATTGCAGATGAAGGTGTGCGATACCTTCTTTTCATGGGAGACTGCGGTGTCTTTATACCCGACGTGCGATGTAGCCAAGCTCGAGTCAACGGAGCAAATGCCTCCCGTAGTCCTGAACGACAACTAGGTTCGCTGATCCTCCTGGACACCGCGTTGAAATGCCAATCAAGCCCATAACCCAGAAGGTGGGTGGTGTAGCGTACGCTACTATCGAAAGAACAAAGTTCAATGACAGGTGAGGCTATGCACTACAACCCACTTTGCCTTGACCGAACACACGCAGATGTTTGCATGTAGGCCTCTGAATCAGTTGACAAAACGTTCTTGGACGTTGATCCTAAAAGATCATTGATCGGAGTATGGCATGAGTTGACATGTTTTATCGCATCATATTGAAGCAGCTTTCAACTATCGTCGGTAACCACTCTGCTCTCAGTATTGTGGTTGATGTTACCTCACAGTGATTATCGACAGGGTCTACCAAACTCGTCTCTGGCAGAGAGATCTGCCATAATCCATCGCCGAGTGGGGCTTTTGCGGCTGAATCTGCACATGGCATTGCGATCATCGATTCCCACTACTCTCGTCTAATACATGATCAACAATTTACTCCCAGTGAATCAAGAGACGCCGTATTGGGTAGAGAGCACTAACCGATCTCAGGGCTAAGGGGCTCAAGTCACTTCCCAACTTGTAGGGTGAGCTCAGACTACCCCGATCGCTTCACCGCGCCAAGATTAGCCTTGCAGTAGCATAGTAGATCGCTACCTTCTGTGAACAAGGCTTCTTGTCGACGTGCCCGAGTTCAGCTGAGGTTGTTCAGTTAGTAGCTCTTTGTTGGCAAGCGGCGCCCCACTGGAAAGGGTGTAGTGTAGTAGCGGTATCTACGGGTCGGCGATCCTTCTGCGGGCGTAGCCGTCGAACATCAGTGCGATGATGCAGCCGCCCGAACATGCAGAAGCAGGCACCTACGATCGTCCAGTCAGAAATCCCAGCAACGAAGTAGGGTCGCCGAGCCTTATGCAGATCTGCTTTTTCCATGTCCGGAGCGGCCGCAACCAATGCCAAGTCACGTGGAGGCCTTTGTTGCCCCTCGTGTAGATGGCAATCTAGTCTCATAATGTACAACGGCATGCAGGTGACTACCTGGAAAAGGGAAATGCGACATGTTCGCTGCGTGGCGCGGTCCGCCAAAAGCAACACAAAGGGTCCGGCTGATGTGTTGTTGTTTCTTTTGTCCAAGTCAGGGCTCGGAATAATGCCGAGCCCGCTGAGTCGCGGACGCTCGCCGACACTAGCCGTACAGACAGCTCCTATACTTTGGCGAGGAGCTAGCTCCTGTGCTCTCATGGTAGCTCAACTTCGGCGACTTCGCTGCACAATTTCTGCTGATTTGTAGCGACCGGAATACTCAACACATGTCGATTAGGAAATGAGAGACATGGTATTAAGAGTGAATGACCAGATAGGTATAAATCGGCCGATCCTTCCCAGATAGCTACGTCAGCTCAAAGTTTAGTGAGATCGTACCTTAGGCCAACACCATTAGCCGCAAAAACCACCGGTATATTGCCGGCGTACTTGATGTGATGCCAGCTTGTGCTTACCCACCAACTAATTGCAGAGGCGCATTTGCTGCGGGTATTCACTCGCGACCGTTGTGACCAACCCTGTAAGCTACCAAACTTCTAAATAGCCTCCATGAACAAAGCAACGAGAACGAAAAAGCATGTTGGCAATTTACACCAGTAGAAAGCACGATGCCGGGTGTTCCGTACTGTCTGCACTGCAATGTAACTTGCGCGTGCCTAGGCTGAAGGCTTTGGCACAGAACGCTAAACTCCACATCCTGACGCCACTGGGCAGAACTCACTTTGATGTTGTACTGAGTCGGGCTCAATACGCTGATTGATTCTTACTGGCTTCTTTCATGTACGAGCCAGTCTTTTGTGAAGTCGGCCGTACTTCTACAGACCTCCAAACGGACTACGGCCACGTACAGCAGTGAGTGGAAGACTTACCATGAACCTCAATTACAAGTGCGTGTGCATATAACATGCCTGGGTAGTCCTCAACTAGGCGCTCAGACTCCAACCCCATCATTAACGCACCAACAAACGTCAAGCAAAGACCACAAACGAGACAGTCCTCATCCATGTGACGGCGCCACAACGTCACCTCAATATCGAGCTCCGCCAACAAGAATGCGATCCAGCTCTCTATCCCTCAGGTATCACGAAGCCGTGAGGCGCCTCCGCATGACAGCATCTACCATTATAGATGTTTGGTCGAGACTAAGCTCCTAGTCCTCCAAGCAGAACAGCACCTTCTACTTCCAGCCTCCCGCCCGTGTTTCTTTACTTTTTCGTTCTTTGCAATTACAGAGCGGGCTTTCGTAGCTCCTCTCGCTGCCGTCGGAGGGGTTGAACCGAGTTGCAAGCGCCTTGCTACAAGACATGGAAAAGCAAACACTGACAGACATGATGAAGGCCAGCCAAAACAACATCGGTTACCCTTAGGTCACTGCAAGACAGCCGTCAGTGAGTAGCGCCTACTCACGATGTTATCACTGTTCTGAAATTATTCGTATGTTGAGCAAGCGGTGCTACCGAAGCCTCATCCCCAAGGTCGTTATTACATCCATATGCTCTTAGTAGAGCTTCCCCAAAATCTGAACGCCAGCATATTACATAGACTAAATGAAATTGACGCCCCCAGAACGAGGTCTGCATTCAATGTGGCAGATGACCCATAGCCCTCATGCAGTCGGCAGACGTGCCAACAACGGTAGGACGTCCTTGAACCTCACTGGCTTGAGAAGGAACTCGTCAAAACCGCTATTCTTCGCTTGCTTTCGCGCTTTCTCGCTACCAAGTCCCGTTAATGCGAAGATGTACGCCCGGGTACCTCTCTCATCCTCTAGAGTACCATCTAGACCATGTCTCGCAGCGTCATCGGACTGTCTTGGTATGCATTTTTCCATCAAACCATGTTCGATTCCACGAATCTTTGAGACGGCCTGGAAGCCATCCATAACTGGCATGCTGATGTCCATGAAAATGCAGTCATAATTTGCTTTTGGGTCCTCTTGCTCAGTGGCGGTTTGATAGAGACGCACCGCTTCTGCGCCGTCGGTGGCACTGGAATATGGTACGCCGAGGCGTTTTGCAAAGGCGCAAAGCATTTTTAGATTTATGGGGTTATCGTCTACCAAGAGCAGACGGCGGAATCGGCATGTCGGGCTGCTTGTAAGCGGGGTAGGTGCTTGTGTTGGTAATGGTGCTTGTAGAGCAGGACTTGTGGCGGCGTCGGCTAGTGTCACACGCTGCAACGATAAGCTGCGGTGTGGAAGTACTTTGGTTTGTGGATCTGGCTCTAGGACTGTGTCGGCATGTTCTAATTGCTCTGTTGGCTCCATGTCAGGTCTGCTTCTGACTTCTATGAACGGCGCTGGGTTTGCCATCTCCTTGGTAGTGGCATCCTTCACAGCCGAGATGAGTGCAGGTCCAAGCGAGTTTGCAGTGACTAGTGCTGTGTGCATGGGCTTGCTAGTGCCAGATTCCGGAGGTGCGCCTTTAATATTACGCAGGTCGACCACGACCGGGTAAGTCCCTCCAGTATACGTAGGGAACAATGTTTTCAAGTCGTACGTGAGTGTCGAAGAGATGGCATGGTGATCGATGAGGAGTACATCCAGAACCGGAAGTGTGTCTGTGGAAACAGTGGTGAACCTCATGCCGAAGCGATCCTGGCAGATATTTTGAACGGCCCGCTCCAGCGCTTCGGGTGGCGAATCGATAGAGGGTGCAAATTCTTTGCCTTGCTCTTCGGGTAGAGAGAGACTGAGCATACCGATTGCCTTCCCGCGCAGGCATTCGTGAGAGGAAACGTTCTCACTACGTGGCGCATTTGGTCTCTGCGCCGTTTGACTAGCCGGAATGTTGATGATGATCTTCGTTCCCTTGCCCAAACGACTAGAGACTGATATAGTTCCATGTAGTGACTCCACGATGCTCTTCACTAAGCTCAAACCTAGCCCAGTTCCTGGACTTAGTAGATTCTCCTGAGTGAAGGGTGTAAAGAGATGGTACTTGAGGAAATTCTCACTCATGCCTACACCCGTGTCGGTCACAGAAAGACTGATTTGTGACTGACTGTCATCGGCAGCCTCCACAAATGCTAGACCTACGTGAATGTAGCCCGACTTGGTATACTTCAATGCGTTGCTGACGACATTAAGTAAAATGCGCTTCCAAGCACCCTTGTCAATGACAAAGGTCCAATCACGGGCCTTTTCAATGCGTGTGGTGACGACGACAGGCTCGGTTTGTGCCGTTGCGGGCGATCCAGCCAACGAATCTTGACGCTCTTTATTAAGTCCAGAAGAGAGGCGCGAAGAATGGTCATGACCTACAGAAACAGTCCCAATGACATCTTCGACCATAGAAGCCAAGTCGACAGTTACTGCACCGTGATGAACGTGGGTGGTGGAACGAAGATCTCCATTTCCGCCTCTTTGTCCAACGCTGGCACGGCTATTCACTTTGGAATATTCCAACAGATGGTCAAATGTATCGAGAAGAGTAACCGCACAAGACTCAATCATGGAGATCTCCGACATCAAACCAGATCCCTGGCAGTTTTCTTGGATCAGCTCAATGCTGGCCAAAATGCCATGCAAGGGACTTCGTAACTCGTGACTGATGGTCGAAACAAAATCCGACTTGGAAAGTGTATTTTCGCATGCTTCTAAGCGAAAGACCTCAGCCATCAGTGAGTTACCGAAAGCTGTCAATGAATTGACATCGCCAGTATCAAGTGTTTTGCCGGTGTCAGATACCCAGGCTAGGCAGGTTGCGTAACAAGCTTCTCTTGAATAGTGAAACATAGGCAGGAATATTACGTAGCGGGTCTTTGGCAATAAACTGAAGAGGTCATTCCATCTGTCATCCGCACCAGAGTCAAGTTCGTCATCGCAATCGTGTTGGAAGACCCCTTGTTCATCGACTGCGAAGACATGCCCTCGAGGGTACTTGGCAGTTAAGCGCTGGATGAGCGACTGACGCAATTTCAGCTGTCCGGGGGCGTTATCTCTGTGGTAATAGGACAGAGGTACCGCAAAGAGATCGCATGTTGGCGAAGATGTATTGTCAGGAGACATGTCTCGTACCTGACAACCTTTGTTTCGGGTGCCAGTTGAAACAGTGTCAAAGAAGACTAGGCCATCCAGACCCATAGCATCGCCAATACTATCTGCGGCTCTCATGAAGAGAGTGTCGACTTGAGTAGCAAAGTCAGATTTGACCCGTTTTGAGACATTATGTTGGGGCGAAACGATAACAGATGTATCGCAAACAGGCAATGACTGGACATGGTCTGACGTGGTGACGCTTGGATTTGTACCGTCGGACAACTTCTTGTCAGGTTTTCTTCGCGAGGCGGCGCCAAAAACATCTAGGTCGAATTGGCTTGTGTGAGCTCCAGAGCGCACAGGGGCCACAGACCTTGGAACCATGTCATCTGAAGCTACAAAGCGGCGAAGACCTTGCATCATCTCAGCAGATCGAGACTTACAAGCTTCGGCGCGTCGCATATCGAGGTATGCACTGATAGCCGAGGTAGTTTCGCGAAGAGTGCTCAGAGACTTGGGATGCAGGAAGTCCCGTTCTTTACTGTCAACAACACAGTAGCTGCCCAATATGTGCCCAGACATTGCAAACAGCGGTATCTCGAGGTATGAAACCATGTGTGGGTAGCCAGCCACGAACGGGCGCTCGGCAAATGTGGGAACCTGGCGAAAGTCTTTTATGCAGAAATACGACTTGTCGGCAATGATATAGGGACTGTCCGGCATAGGCACTGGTTTGCCCTGGAAGATGCACATGGTGAATGGGCAGACGCCCCATTCGAGAGCGATTCGCGAAGTACCCAGCAAGAGCGGCTCGGCCGGGTCTGCACTCGAAAGCGACTGGTGCCTCGTCATCTCTGCGCATATGAATTGATTTCGATTATCAATGAGCGAAAGGAATGCGCGATCGCAGTCCATCTTGTGCACGCCATGCTGGACGAGGGCGTTGAGGGTTATGTCGCTGCTGGGGACTGGTTCGGACGGCGGTCCTTCTGGGATGTGGAAGGGGAACGACGCGGCAGAGAGATATCTAGGGCCGTGTTAGCAACAGGAATCGGCAATGTGACGTCGGCTGGCAATTCTCACGCGGCGATCTCGTATGCGCGTACCCGTTCGTGGTTATCGATAGCTGCGGGTGGCGTCGTGGTCGAGATGGGCGCGGTCGTAGCCATGGTCCATTACGTCACTCACATAGAATGAAGACTGCTGGTGCTGCGTGCGACGTTTGCGCGGGCCCCAGCAGTCTTCTGGGCTTTAGCAGGCAGTCTTGGCGTTAGTCAGCCAACACATAAACGGCCCGTAAAACCAAAGCTGCGATGCTCAAGCACGGCTTAATTTTCCGTCAAATTCATCGGATCGTGATGTCTCACAACAACGCTAGCCTAACACGGGTTCCGCGGCTGCATAGGGCTAGATGCTCAGAGACGCGTATTCGTCGCACACTTCAGTCAACTTCCTTCTCGTCCCGGGCTCCATAACACTGTGCCCAGCGTCGTCTATGAAGTGCAATCTGCTCTCCGGCCACTGCTTGTACAACTCCCAGGCTGTAACCGGCGGGCAGACAACATCGTACCTGCCCTGCACGATGGTCGTCGGAATGTTCCGGATCCGGTCCACGTTCTCCTTCCTCAACCTGCAGGACGAAGTCAGTAATCATCTGCATTCCGTACAGCCAAGACTTACAGCTGCCCGTCTTCCATCCATGCTTTGTTGATGAAGTAGTGGATCTCCATCCTAGCATGTGCGAGCAGATAGGCTGGTTCTTTCAGTTTCTTGTACGCGTGTGGGTCAGGATACAGGGTGCTGATTGATAGCTCCCACGTGTTCCACGCCTCAGCCGCGGGATGACTGATAGACGAGTCCGAAGACATGAGGCGTTTGTGGTAGTTGCCGATATGATCGGAACGTTCTTCCTCTGGTAAAAACTTGATAAAGTCCTCCCAGCGGTCGGGAAACAGCATTTGCGCGCCGCCTGCATGGTTGGTCCACTTGAGTTCGATGTCTCGCACGGTGAAGATGCCACGCAGGACTAGACTACCTACACTATCGGGGTGTGTTTGCGCATATGCTAGAGCGAGTGTGGATCCCCAGGAGCCACCAAAGACCATGTGCCATTTGGAAAACTTCAGATGCTTGCGCAGCTTTTCGATGTCTTCGACGAGATGCCAAGTAGTGTTGTCTGTTGTGTTGGCATTAGGGCGCGATTGACCACAGCCTCGCTGGTCGAGCAGAACGACTCGGTATTCAGAGGGGTTGAAGAAGACGGTGTTGGTTTTGGAGCAGTTCCCGCCAGGCCCACCATGGAGGTAGATGACTGCAAAGCGTTAACTATCAGGAAATTTGGACAACATGGCTGGCACTTTTACCAGGCTTTCCGTCCTTCTTGCCAAACTGTTGATAGTAAAGTTCATGGGTGTCATCCACCCGCAGCCAGTTCACGTCCCAGGCATCTTCATGCTCGTAGCTGGTGAACTGGAGCGTTTGAGCCATCGTGCCTTAGTAGTAGACAGAAATTTTGCGGCGAGACAAGAAGATGAAAGAGCTTTTGTAGTCGACGTGTGTGCAAGACAGTCATACTGGTAGTGATGGAGTCAGACACCCAGGTACGACTACCCCGCTTTCAGTATAGTGGCCCCGCTGCTTCAAGAACACCTTCCTATTCTGCTCTCAGTATGCGACTGACTAACGGCAGCAAGCGTGCGAAAGATGCAATTGACATGATCATATTTAAAATACACATTATTGTATGTACTGGATAATAATGACGTTGGCGTCAAGGGCCTAATACTTAAAGCCACCGGCCCTGGTGCTCCACAAGCCCTTCGGGTCAACACTCTTCTGCAATGCCTTAAACTTGTTGTAATCCTTGTAGCTCTGGAAAACTGGCTGGTCCCACATGGCATCGTTGATGAACAATGGCATGTACATGTCGCTTGGCATACCCGCTTCTGCTATCCATTGAGGCACGACCTTGTCCAACCAAGCCGTCAATTCCCTGGCGATGCCAAACGCAAGAGCGTCGTCTGTGGGCAAGTTCCACGCTCCTTGGTAGATTAGGATGATGCGGTCAGGGTCGGAGGACGAAAGTCCCATGGCGTTTCCGCCCTTGGACTCGGACATCTTTCCAAAGCGGGATGGAAGAGGTTGGAAGTCAACGCTGAACTGGATAGCGCGAACGACAGGTAGGGTGTTGAGGAAGATACCAGTGAGTTCAGCAAGCTTGTCGCGAATCTCCTTGTACATCTGAGGCCGGGATGCAATGTATGGGACAGTGTAAGTACGGAAGAATGCGCGGGCGTTCAAGAGTCGGACTGGCTCGCCGTTTGCCTTCAGCTGGGAATTGTTAGTTCTTGTACGGCACATTGAAGTTAGATTATAGACTTACTAGCTCAGAGTACTTTTGTGTCTTGGGTAGACACAAAGGGTTAACGATCTTGAAGAAATCGGCAAATGGACCCGATGTAGGTGGCTTAGGGTTGTCGTAAAAGGAAAAGAGAATTTTCGTCTTGATTCCAGCTGCGACTACGAGGTCCGTAAGAATGATGGCCGCCTTGGGGTCTTCGGCACCGTGTGCCATGAAGTTGTGCAAAGCAGCGTATAGTGCGTCGGATTTTGAGTCGTCGAAGACACACGAGCCACCCCAGACGTCGCCCATGTGATGGACTTTAGTCTTGAACTGGGTGACAATACCGAACTGGCTACCGGAACCACGCATAGCTTGCGCAAGGTCGGGATGCTTTGCGGCGTTGACGTTGACGACAGACCCGTTCGCCATAACAGTCTCCCATTCGATGATGTTCTATCGCTTGTTAGCATAGCTGCCCTTTGCATATAGCGAAAAACTGACATCGGCTGCAAGACCCTCTTGAGCACCGAGGAATGAAAGACCTCCACCCAGCAGCAGACCAGCGACACCGACGAGACCGAGTCGTCCTCCAGCGATTGCCACGCCGCTCTTCTCGAGGTCGCCAATGACGTCGTTCCATTCGCCACCGGGTCGGACGTATGCAACATCTTCTGCTGCGTCGTACGTCGCTCCGACTAGATTGGTCATGGCGATGAGAACACCGTCTTGGACCGCAGCATGTTGCTTGTTTGGATCGTGACCTCCGCTCCGTGTAGCAAGCTTGACAGTCGGGTACTTGTTCAATATCTTGATAGCAATGGACACATCTTGGGCAGAGTCTGGTTGAACGATGCATGCAGGATCGACTTCGCGGAGATTGGTAGCCCAGTATTGCTGCGTCTCATGTGCGTATTCGAGCTTGAGAAGCCCCGGAGTGAGGACTTTTCCTGGAAGAGCATTGTTGATTTCGTTACACGCTTTGGTAGTGGCCTCTGTGGGAATAGCAAAGGCGGATTGGGCTCCTAACAGGAGAGTCGCAAGAGCGAGAGAGGTGAACTTGTCCATGTCTGGAAGTGAATGAGTGTAAGGAACGAGCGAAAGATGGACGAAAGCGCAGAAGAACGAACGCAGCCTACAGACCACCTCTTGATGAGCGATGTGCCTTAAGTACTACAATGTGGGCTTCTTCGACGTTAGGTTTAGCTGTCCCCGGTCTTGGTTCCGGACGCCATGGCAGCCATGCAGAGAGCAGCACATGTACACAAGCTGGGGAGAACCATGGCTAGGGCAGGTCGCGTGGAAGAATCGTAAAATACGGCAAACCCCCTCCAATGGCGACGCATGAAATAAGGAATTGAGTGCAGATCATGTGTGAGTCCCTGCGAAGCTTACGGCAATGGGCCCGACATTTGAGGGGAATCGACGCACACCGTCGTAAAACTATATGGTTTGCTGGAATGGGTATTTAGCCTGGATAGGATAAGGCGAGCCCAGTATTGGAAACGGTACTTGAGTGCCGAATTGCAGGACTGGCAGTCTCGGAACCCGAAGGTTTGTCAGACAAGCAGTGCGTATAATTGTCATCGACGGTCATGGTGGGGTGCGCTGATGGTGGGACCGAGTCCGAGTCCGACCTCAGGGGAAAAACACGTCTGTGGCATTAAACTTCTGGGCCATGCGAAACGAGAGGCACGCACAGATACGCTAGAGAAGTATATGTATGTCGCTTGTAATCACGATAATTGCTGAAGCGCGAGTGGAGGTGAAGCCGGGTGCAGGCGGATGCAACGATGGTGATGATGCGAGAAGGACACGAAGAGGCTGCATGCACGGCTGTGACGGGCTGGCTGAAGGTGGACGTCGTCGTATCACGTCGACATTGCATGGAGTCGTGGCGGAAGGATCGGAACGCGTAGGTCCGTGCTTGTTCGGTTGCTCCTTCTACCTCCTACCTGGGCATCGGAACCCAGGGATAAACAAACAGTGGCCGACAAGCTCACAACGCCGCCACATCCGACGACGCCGCCGGTAGCCGACCACGACGGCTGCACTCACCATGGACTCGTACAATCTCAAGACGGCGTCGACGTACATCAACAACCTGCTGCTTGCGCGGGGGTTGTTGCGCAATGGCACGCCCATTGAGTTTGCGCATCCGTCGAGGGGAGAAGGGGGGAAAGAGGCCACCATGGCCCAGATCATCAACCTGGTGCACGACCTGATATTGAAGCGCGATGTAGGCACATGCACGTTCACGTTCTGGTGGAGAGGGTCCTAATAAGCAGATAGCGCGACCAAGAGTACCGCGAATCCAGCGCCGACACGCTGCGAAGCCTGCGCGCCGAGTCGACGCGCCAGACGGCCGCCCTCGAGAAGCAACACAACCGCAATGCCGACCTATCGCGACAGCTCTCGCTCGCCCAGGCGCAAGAGCAGTCGGCGCGCAAAGCCCTGCACACGGCCGAGTCGTCGGCGCGCAAGCTGCGCGCCGAGATGCAGCGCCTCAAGACGACGGTCGATCAAGTGCGCACCAGCTGCACCAACGACGTGCGCAAGCGCGACAAGGAGATTGCACGGCTCAAGAGCCACCTGACGAGCCAGCAGCGCGGCAACAAGACGGGCCTCGTCGGCGCAAGCATCACCATCAACCCCGGCAGCACAGGCTTGGGCGCCGCCACAGGCCATGCGCGCGACGAGTCGCCCAATGTCGACGACCCCGAATACAGCCTGAAGCAGGAGACGACCGAGTTCTTGACCCAGCTGAGCCAGAGCTTGAGCGACGAAAACGACAACCTTATTGGCCTCGTGCGGAGCGCCCTGGTGACGCTGAGAGAGCTACAAGGCATGCCCGAAGTCAATCGCAAACAAGACGCAGACGACGCCTCGGTCGCGGGCGACGAGCAAGACGACACGCAACAGGACATGCTGCACACGCTGCCTACCGACTACGAGACTCTCGCCGACGACATGGACACGGTCTTGGACAACCTGAAGAACCTCCTCACAAATCCAAACTTTGTAGCAGTGGACGAGGTCGAGATGCGCGAGGAGGAGATACACAGGCTGCGGGCGGGCTGGGAGAAGATGGAGGCGCGGCTGCGGGAGTCGTTCCTCCTCATGGACTCCTGGCGAAAGCGCATGACCAATGGCGACACCATCAATCTCGAGGAGCTTAGGATGGGACTAGGATTTGGCGAAGGGTTCGAGACGGTCGACAGGGAAGGATTCTCCGTGATTGACGAAGAAAGCGAGGCCGAGGAAGCTGCAAGCTCAGCCTTGGAAGAAGACGTGGACAATACAGAAGAGCAAGACGAGGCCGTCTACTTGCCCTCACCCAATCCACACGCGAGAACAGACAAGACAACTGGGCCCGATGTCTTCAGCATCAAGTTGCAACCCAGCCAGCCAGCGTTGAGGGAGACCAACGGCAACAAGTCGCCCAGTCGATCGCCCCGCAAAGTCGCCTTCTCAGCGTCCATACCGAATACACCGTCTCAGGTGGATGGAGAGAACGCACACACGTCTGGGATAGATCTAGTCGATGCGGAGAAGGCTAGTCGGCCATCCTCTGCAGCCAAACCACCTCGTTCTGAAGAACGAGCGTCAAGACCAACGAGTCAAGACAGACCACGCCATGTACGTTGTGACATCTTTCCCTCTACGTCCACTCTCTCCACAATCTCCAGCCCAGCAGCACCACACCTATCCCTCAACAGATCTGACAATCTACGACAGACCAAGAAGCGCTTGTCGAGCCCACGTGCCCATCCCGACGAGCGATCGCCGAAGCTGTCGGTCCAAGACAAGTTACGAGAGGCCGCGGAAGCAGCCGCTGTAACCGACGGAGACATCTCCACCAAGAAGACGGACGAAAGCACCGAAGTGTCCGACGAAAACCCTAAGAAGCGGGCACCTAGATCTCCCGTCAAGACACGAATCAGTGGGAGGCCAAAGAGGAGAAAAAGCACCTTGACGCCAGAGGAGCTGGCAAATCTTCTAGGCTGCTAGACTAGGTTGGAGCATGTGCGATCCTCACGATGGCACCGTGAACTAGGACTTGATAGCGACTCGAGGCTGCATCGGCGGCTGGTCATGCAAGATCATGCCATCAACTGGCTTCCAGTTATATGCGAGGCTTGCATGT